CATGGAGCTCGATTTCAGCGAGGGTATGGCTTAGGTTCGATATTTAAAGGTCTGTTCCGCTCGGCGATGCCTCGCCTGCAACAAGGTGCTAAGGTGATTGGAAGAAGAGCTTTACAAACGGGTGTCAATGTTGCCCTAGATGTTCTTGATGGAGATAACATTAAAAAGGCAATCAGCAAACAGGCTAAACAAACCCTCGGTCTACCTGCCCAGAATTCATTGCAGGGACAATCAGGAGCTGGCAAAAAAGCTATAACAAGGAAAGCGCAAGGCTCAAAAATCAGTTCACCTCCCGGCAAGAACGCAAGGACATCTCCACAAGCGAAGAAACCTAAAAAAGGGAACTTGACTGAATTTTTTGACAAAGAATAGAATGGCCTTCGTTCATCACGAGTCTCTCGAGTGTACTAAATCAGAGCTCGATCTTTTTACTATTCCTGCTACACAAACCTCTATTCACAAAGGGCAATGGATTGAATGTCACCCTCTCAGCAACATCACGGACACTGGTCCTATTGAATTTAACGTATCTGGAACCGGAGAACAATATCCAGATTTAGCGCGAACACAACTTTATGTGAAAGCTAAGATCACGAAAGCAAACGGAACCGCGTTAGATGCCGATACACAAGTGGGTCCCGTAAACCTCTTTTTACATTCTCTGTTTTCACAAGTAGACGTTTCATTGAATGAGCGACTTATATCTGCATCCACTAATACTTACCCCTATCGTGCCATGATCGGGTCTTTGCTGAACTACGGGGAAGAAGCTAAAACAAGTCAACTTTCAATGGCCATGTTTTACAAAGATACTGCTGGAAAGATGAATGTAGTGAGCCCCTTGGATGCAGACGATGAAGCAAACCTTGGATTAAAGGCTCGCTATGAGTTTACCAAAGAGAGTCATACGGTGGATATGATGGGACCTAATCACAGTGATATATTCTTTCAAGACCGGTTGATGCTCAATGGAGTTAATTTAAGAATCAAACTAAACCGAGCCAAGAATGTCTTTTGTCTTGTGTCCTCAGCAGCCGGAGCTAAGTTCAAAGTGGTTATCACAGAAGCGATCTTGTTTGTACGTAGAGTCAAGGTTGCCTCTTGTATCATTCTAGGCCATGCAGCTGGGCTAAGACACTCCAGCGCCAAGTAACCCATTCGCAGAATCGACTGTAAAGTACTCTCTATTCCAAGAGGATTTAGCAGTGTTAACCCTGACAACATCTTTTTGGGTCAAATTCCCAAGCGCATATAGTATTGGGATTAGTGGACACAGGTTTACAATGGGAGTTATCATACCAAACCCTTCTACTTCAAACACCACAACTCAAGTGGGTGTGTGCGTGGACGGAGAACAAATTCCCCGAAAACCTTTGTTCCTGAATTTTGACGCCGCTGGTGGTCAAAATGTGATAGCCGGCTATCAAAGTCTTTTCTCTGGTATTGGAAGGCTTTCCCAAGATATGGGCAATCAGATAAATAGAAGTGATTACGGCTCTGGTTACACCTTATTCGCATTTGATTTGACTCCAGATCACTGCCCAGGAGTTCATTTTGAGCTTACAAAACAAGGAAACCTGCGCTTGGAGCTTCATTTCTCGGAAGCACTCGCCAACACGGTTAACCTTATCGTCTACGCTGAATTTCAAAACGTGATTGAGGTCGACGCAAACCGAAACGTTCTCTACGACTACACAAACTAGAAATGGACACCATTCAACTGACCCTTATTTTGAGAAAGGATAAATTTACACGAGGTGTGTTTCAAGGCGTGTATCCCTCTGACAGGCTGCCTGTAAGTGTTTCGCAATACCCAGCCCTATACATCGCCAATGTGGATACGAGTGACAAGTCGGGTTCGCATTGGGTGGCGATTTATTTCACCAAGGAGCAAGAGGGAGAATTTTTCGATTCTTACGGAGCACCTCCCAGCAAATATTCAGGAACATTTACTACCTTTTTAAACAACAATTCTAACCAGTGGATTCTTAATACTGTGACATTACAGAGCATCTATTCCAAAGTCTGCGGACATTAATTTTTGTATTTTGCTGTATATCGTAGTCGGCAAATAAGTATTGTGCATCGTTTTTCTAATAACACAGGTAAAAATGATAGTCTTGTCAAGCGATTTATTGAAAAACATTTTCCTATAAGTCTTCCGAAATATCGCACTGATGTAAACAAGCAAAGAGCACAAGCCCATCACAGCGTTCAATAAACAAACACCTTGTAATTTCTTTTCAACGTCTTTTATTGAGTGAACAAAATAAAGAGATGATTTACAATAATAATAATAATAATAATAATAATAATAATAATAGTAATAATAATAATAATAATAATAATAATAATAATGTCTCTTGTGGTGATTTTATAACCGTAACCAGCGCACAGCCTCAGGGCGCGGACTCGCGTTTCTTCGCCAATGTTTTTTCACGGGGGATACCGTCACCGGTGGGCTAGGTCTCTCACCCTTGCTTTAAATTCTTGAACAGCACTTTGCCTCTACGGATTACGCACTAGATTTTCCGGGACATTCATTTGGGCCAGACCCCTCGCAAACACCGACCATCCCACTGGTTCAAATCCTTTGCGGTGGCGCAATGTGCCGTTGACTAGGTCCACCAGATGAGAACCCGGAATGGGTTTGGTTTCATGCAACAGCTCTCCTTTATCACTCCAATGCAAGACATCTTGATGCTCTTTTATTTTATCCAACAATTGTCTAGCCCCGGCTTTGTAAATTTTGGGTACACTTTTCATGACTTCCCGCTCTACAGCTGATGAAATAGCTTTTTCTGGGGCAGGTTGTTCCGTAGGTTGCTCATTCTCTTCGGATTTAGGTGTTTCTACTGCTTTGGGGGTTGATATTTTCACATGAAGAGGTTGACCTTTTCGCTGATCGTAATAAGTCAAGTACCGCTGCAATACTTGATTGTAAAGCCTAGCTTTTTGTTCATCATCAAGTTCTTTACTGGATAAAATATCGGTCATTTCACTATCCAAGTTTCTCAGAGTTTGTGTGACGGCTGGCGTTGCTGTAATCTTTCCAAGGTGTTCTCGGGCACGAGAACCATACGCTTTGTGTGATTCATTTTAGGTAAGAATCGAACTTAACACACGGAGAACGGAAGGTAGCAAAACACTTAAAAAATTTCCTCCGTGTTGTACCAACAATTTATTTTTCTTATCGAGCGGTGTACTTTTTTCGGCTAAAGCGATCAAAGATTTCTTGTGAGGTAAAAGTTTTTTCTTGGCTGGCTTACTGACAGGCACTGTTCATTTAAGCACGTTTAAAACACACTCACAAATGGTTCTTACTAAAGCGTCGTCTGCCACCTTCAAGATGGCTTTACGCTGAGCTGGGGTACACTTGACAACCAGCTTCAGAAAATCGTGGTTCTTTCTCAGTCGCTGTGCCATCCTCAACTGAAGAAATTTGACGTGGTTCACGCTTTTTATACTTTTCTGACGCAAGTGTACTGAGTCTCTCCGGGGAAAATATTCGTACGCAGCCGGAAATCGGTAGGTGTTTCCGGTTTAAGATCGCAAAATAAATATCCATAGGGCCTTTTTGTTGCATCCTCAAACGCTTCTTGCATGTATTTGACATGACCGGGAAACATTTGTCTTGCTAAATGATTGACTTGACTGATATCACGCCGGCTTTTGAACACCACTAAGTAATAAGAATTCAAACTCATATCTCTCAGTTCTTTTCCACGATGAAACATGTTTTGGAGAATAAAGATCACGCTGATATTGCGATGGTGACAGCCCTTGGTAAACAAATTAGTCATTCGCTGATCATTGCTAAGCTCGTGCATTAAGTCATCAATGACGACTAAATTCCGAATAGAAGGATTAATTAGGGTTTCCAGATCACCAGGAACTCCTTCGACAAACGTAATGTTCGGAATAGTTTTAAGCATTTCATCGTAGGCTGGTTGATACATCCCATAACACCAGATGATATTTTCCGGGGCACCATCAATCATGTCTTCCCCCGATTCAAGTAAACGTTTTACAAACTGACTTTTCCCACAACATGTTGGGCCGGCCACAAGCTCGGGGAAAGGATGTTTCCATCTCTGGTCCATGATCACAACTGATTAACTGAATTGTGCGCACTCTTATTTATAGAAAAATTGTTTTAGGTTCAGCCCCTTTCTCGCAAACACGAACCACATTGGTGTTTTGTAGTTAAGCAAACTGTAGCCAATATTTTCTTTCTATCCCCGATAATTTATGTCCTCGAGTTAAATGATCTGCTAATCGAACTAAAAATTTTGACCCGCAACCTGGTATCGGACAATGTTTACATCTCCTCCGCACCATGTTATCTCTGTGAAAGTTTGATTCAAACTGAACAAAACTGTTTGTAATACAAAATTTATCTTTAATTTAACACGAAACGACAGCCAAAAACGCCAAAAGCGCCAAAAACGCCACATTTTAGCGTTGTGTTTTTTCCCCTGGGCGCGCGTGGAGATCTCGCGTGTAAGTCGTGCGCGTCGAGTCAGGAAACAAACCACGATTAAATTCAACCAAAAGACTTATTTACAAATTAATTTCCTATGTACAAACATCCGTGAAAAGCTACGCAAAAGTACTATTTATAACTAGAGGCGATCTTATATAAATATTTCGGAAAACTGTTTTTTGACAGTAATATATATATATATATACAAACTTGAGAAAACGAAAATTATTTACAAAATCAATTTTACCAACTTGAAAACTTAAATGTCGAGTGGAGTGGTGCTAACTCCATCAGCTAAAACTTTTCGTTTCGGGTAAAAATACGAAAATGCATCCCTAACTTGTTCATAAGTGTACATCGTGTTGTTAACAACACGAAAACCCTTGTTAACACCTGAACTATTCTGTTTTGTGAGAAACACTTGTAAATATTTGTCTTTGTTAATCTCGTTACATTTCTTGTTAACCCCTTTGCAAGAAAACTTATCTTTGGCCCCAAAACAGTAGTAGGTTTTTTAACACAACCCGATAATTCCTTGTCCCTCCCACTCAACCTTAAAAAGACCCGGGGTTCTCTTATCATAGGCTTTATGCTCGGGTGAATCCGTATGGGGAAACCAGTAACATTTATCGGCTTCGAACTCTGCTTTCTCTGGGTAACGTTTCTTGCTGAAACCTCGAAAGACTTGGAAATAATCCTCATAAGTATTTTACGAATAGTCTTTCACGCACTAGCCTTTATGTTAAATCTGCTTTCAATTCTGGTTTGACTAAACTTTCCACACTCTCCCCAGCAATAGCAATATACGCATTGTCCCTATCCATTTCACACATTTGAAAATCGCTGCGATCTAAATATTTATCCAAAAAATCATAATAAAACTGCAGCATGCGTTACTTAGCATACTGATACACAAAAAAACCGATTTGAATAGGTAAGTCTACTCTACTTCGTAAGTGTCTTCTGTGATATTATCCAGTTTCCGAAACAGGGGAGTGTTGACTTTTCGGCTGGCCTCTGCGTCACTGCAATATTCCACGTTTCTGTGGTTCAACTGGTTAGTGATGGTTTTTCCGTAGCCAGAATTGCCCACCTTAAAACAAACAATTACCACAATGCAGGACTAATATAAGAAAGTTCTCCATCAGTTTCCAAGGTCCTAAATTTTTTAACTCTCTTAGTTTTGAAATTCGAAATGCAACAACTACCGCTTCCTTTTGCTGTAAGCTGAAAGCATTCCTCTTATCATAAATAGTAAGTTATACATATATATATGTATTTTTTTTTCTTCCTTTGCTCTTTTATTTTCTTTTTTTTTTTTGTCATTTCGCTTTTTTTAGCCTAGAAATATGATTAGTACAACTATCTAATATACTTATTTTAAGATTTACTGTAGCTCTGCCATTGATTTTCCCCTGTGTAATTATGATAATATTTTGTTCTAATTATCTAACTGGGGGAGCCCATTCCTTATAAGCTCGGTGGCTTCTCATGGGCTTCCTCGCATATTAAAGAAATAGACAGAAATAGTAATAGCTCATTTATTAGATTTAGAAGGTGGATTTCTCCGACTACTGATTTGATGTAGTTTGAAGTATTGAAATGCCGAGTTTCGATTGTCTCGAAGATGTTTACATCATTTTCATTCAGCAAATGCGATACAAAAACTTGCATAAACAAAGGTTACGCAAATAGAAAGACACACTAATCAGTTCGAACAAACATTGAAACTTTTCAAGTGCGAAGAGAAAGTAAATTACCTGCATAATTTCTCTTCTCCTCGGCCGTCAATCTGAAGCTTATTTAAATATGAGCTTAGCTAGATAAAAATGTAGTCACAACAGTGGATTAAAAGCGTAAATCTGAGCAGAAATTAGACACAACTTACATATTTCGCTTCCCTCTCACTTAAAGCAGGTGAATTAACATAACATAACATAACATACATGTTTATTCAAACTCATAATAACTACATGAATTTGAAAGGGAGAGTCTAGGGTTAACCCTATGAATAAAACTCTCCTAAAAACAACAAACAAACAATAAAAATTACAACTTTAAAAAGGATTTGAGTTTACATTTAAAAAGTTCAAGGGAACCGGCTTCAACAAACATTTCTAGGTAAATTGTTCCAATAACTAATTACATTGTTAAAAAAAGAATATTTAAAACAGTTGATCCTAGATAATTTACAATAAAGCTTATACGAGTGATTTGCCCTAGTGGATCTTAACCCAGCGTTGAACAACCCGGCCCAGGTACCGGTATTATAGCAAACAGTTGACAAAGATTTAGATGTATTTCTAATCATTAATTTTATTTATTGGGAATTTCACATGTACACAATTACTGATGAAATTTACTATAAAATGAAAGCGTTGCTGGCAAGTCTTCTTGTGATGATATTAAAAATCGACCCAAGACCACATTTTTTGTGGTGAACGCCGGGGCACAATGATTGTGTTTGAACACTGGCTCACTTACACTACACCTCCCAATTTCACACGTTTCAAGGGAATCATCAAAGCCTTCAGTGGAATGTGTGTGCTGCTTACGTCAATAACTTTTCCAGTAATTTGGTCGAGTGTATTGATTTCAGTGACTTGAGTGGCGCTACTGTGGACTGGTCACGTTTGTTTGCCCGATTCTCAAAGATATCACAAGTCATGATGAAATGGTGCCGCCGAGCTTCACATCTAGTAGATTTACTTTGTGGCACTACGGCCGCCTAGCTACACAACTCAGTAGATTTACTTTGTGGCACAACGGCTGCCGAGCTAAACAACACGGTTTGATGCATGTACCAGGAGTCGCACGCATTTTCCAAAGAAAAATATAAAGGCTTAATCCAAAGCAAAATTTTACTAAGGGTGTAAACTTTCAGCAGACTTTTGAAAGATGAACGCTTTGGCAGATTCATTAAACACAAATCGATAGTAGACCTTCAGCAAACTCTTAAATATGTACGATTTACGAAGATGCAGCACACTTTTAAAAGATGAGCGCTTTACGAAGACAGAATAGCAGACCTCAGCAAACGTTTGAAAGATGAACGCCGAGGACACAAGAATCACCACGTGAGTTAGCGCGTCAAAGTGAGGCAAAACGTAAGCAAGCGCCTCAAAGCGGGGCAAATGTGTGTCGACACAAATGCAATCTCAAAAACCTCCCTTATTAATTACTCAGGACACCTAATAATGCACGCAATACCCAACAGAAATTAGGGGTTTTGTTCTCGTACCTCGAACGCAATTAATTGCAGAGAACACCCAACACATATTAGGAGTTGCCTTCTCGTACCTCGAACCCAATAACTAAATAGTGGTTAAAGGTTATGCAGCGTTCCAAAGTCTGAGTATGTTGAAAAAGGAGATTACGAAAGGGGTTGGACCTCGGGTTAGAGCTTTCTCGTATGAAATTGTGTTGATTACCTCCGCCCACTCTTTCGGGGTGTACAATCTTTTTAAGGCCATTAATTTTAAGTTGTATTCGTTAACATATTGTATAAATAAAAAAGTGTAAGTTCTATTGTATTTTTTTTTTTCAGGTTTCTTTTCGGAAACAAAATCAAGAAAATCCCTGATAGAGCCTTCGAGAATACGTCAAGTCTTCAAATAATGTACGTAACAACTGAATCATCAGCATCATTAATTTTGTTGGTGCCGTTTTATTATTAACATTTGTTCTTAAGTTACTCATTACTTTGCTTGTCATTATTAACCCTAAAATCCAGGTTTTCTTTCTCTTTTAGCTTGCTTCAAAATAACAACATAACGAGAATCCCTGATTACGCATTCAAGAATCAAAGATCTCTTGAAGTAATGTACGTACGAAAATGACTGCCTTTGGTAGTTGTCACTATTCGCTATGCCTTTTGTACAGTAACATGGAGGACCATAGGTTTAGGGTTATTTTATCTCATTGGAAGGAATGCCCTAAAGTTTTTCTTTCGCAATATGAAAGCAGCCTATGGTACCCACACAAGCAAACACTAATCAACTTAATAATATACACGAAAAAATAACTCAATTCTGATTGGCTGAGAAAGGAGTGCAGTTCCTCTGTAACACGAGTACAAACTTGTAACACGAGTGCAAATTACAAATGCTTTCTGATTGGCTGAAAACACAAAAGAAACCACCAAGAATCAATCAGATTAAAGCTGTTTTAACAATAAAATTTAAGAAAATGGCCATGGTTTTCAGCAAACGAAGATTTGATTTTGTACGCAAAACAACAATAGAAAAGTTTTAAAAATGTTCCAAAAACCCGAAAATAGTAAAAAGTAGGCCTTTTTGGCTAAATGTATTAAAAATGCGGTGCTAAAAGAAAAATACTGTCAACAAAGTCGAGGAAAATAAGCCAGAGAAACTAAGAAACAAGCTACTTATAACAGACTACGCTTAAGTAAAAAAATAAAGAACAAAAACGGTGGCAACCACACGCAAACCATGACAGCTACACTTTTCCATCCATGCGATGGTCTGTTTTTTTTTTTCTCTACCTCAGAAGCAAACGAAAACGTACATTTGAACATCTGGTTCGAACTAAACTAATGGGCGAAAATACCATAACTAACATAATGAAAGTATCCGTAGCTGGTACTAGCCTTAAAGAAAGTGAGAAAAATGTTTACGAATCATAGTGCGAGAAAAACAACGGTCAGCAAGCTGAAGAAAGCAAAGATTGTAAGTTCAGAACGTATCACCAATGTCACAGGCCAAAGAGGTATAAATTTCCTTAACGACTACGATGAATCCGACGAAGAAAAGCGACGATGACTCTTGCAGTAGGCCAAATGAAATAATGAAAACCCCAGCGCTGAGAATAAGCTAATAAACAACTGAGGCTCCACTCACCCATCGATGGCAGCGTCAGGAGAAAACACTGAATTCCCTCCTTCATTTTTGGGTTTTAAATCTCAAAAATTTCTCCATGAATCCAGCTATGATAGGGTCTCAGGAACAAAGAATGATCAACAGTCATTAAACTACTCAGCAAGTGTCTTTCATTTTTGGCTGCTCGAAGCGTTCTCCTGATTTCAAAACGCAGTATACTTCTTGAAAACACTTCTTGTAAACGCCGAGCTCTCATAATCGAAGATGAATTTAAAAACACTTACTTTTGCTGATTGTTGTAAACCGAGTTAATATAACATGCTAGTGACCATATAAAATGAACCCTTGCACATTTCCAAGTTCTTAGGTGAATGATTTTGAAAGCGTTGGTCTTGAAAAAGTCTGAATTTGACAAAGGTAGTAGTCTGTTTCAGCCAATCAGTTGAATGAACTAAAAACGCATGCGCTGTCAAAATTTGTTGTTGTAGTTATGTTTTTCGTGTATATTATTAATAAGTGATCACATGATTTTTCTCAGGCAGTTTGGAATAAATAAGACCACGTGACCCGAAACGCATTAGCTGCGCGGAATAATGAGGTCTACGGACAAGGCAACGGCAGACAGTCGTTCCGTACAGTCCTTCGCTATCATTAAAAGCACTGGACAAGGGAATTTTGTTGTTGGCCGTTTTCACGCTAGAGCTAGAAATGAATTATCCGTCTGAGACTAGCCTGTGTACAGTCGCACCCTCCCCACAGACACTCCTTCTCCGATTGTTTCTGAGGGGAGGGGGCGGCCGTACACGGGCTATCTGGAACGGATAATCCCGTCTTCAAACTCTCTGTCAAAATTGACGGATAAAGTCAGGCGGATTGTTTATTCCCAATTAAAACTATTCCATTTTCAAATTAAGAAGTATTACCTATCTGACGCAGATCATCAAACGGATAACCCGTCTCACACGAATAATCCGTCTCTAGTGTGAAAACAGTCATTTCTGTTATAATTATATAGCAGTCAGTTAATCCAGTATTGTCAGCACGGCTATTATCCTTTAATTTCTCAGAACTGTCCAATTTGGGATTTAATTTGGACAGTTTTCAATATGGAATTTGAGTAAAAATGCAGAAACTGTCCTATTTGGGAAAAAATAGGACAGTTTGTTTCAGCCAATGAAATCCGAGAAAAAAACAACGGATTGTGAAACCAACCAATCAGCAGTAAGCAAACGTCAGCACTGAAAGCAGGACAGGTCGCCATTGTTGTTGACAACATGGAGGAATTCAGTGAAGAAAATTTGCCAAATTTTTCAATCTTTAGCAGTTCTAACCCAAATGAGAGATTTCCATGGTTGCAGGAAGAGGAAATTAATACTCTTACAAGCAGAAACGAAAACTCAAAAACCGCCAAGAGCACAAAAACGTGGCTGAACGTTTTCAACGAGTGGAAACTCCAGCGTAACGAAGTGAGACGTTTTGAAGATATCCCTCCAGAAGAGCTAGATGCAATTCTCTGCCGCTTCTTTGCCGAAATTCGAAAAAAAGGCGGCGGTGAATATGAACCAGAAAGTCTGGCAGTGATGCAGAGCGCGTTGGACCGCCATTTAAAAAACGCTGGCAAAAAACACAGCATCTTGCGAGACCGCGAAAGCAAGAGAATTGAGAGTGAAGGGTTACGGAAAGCGAAAAAATGCATCTCACGCTTTGAATGAAGAAGACGAAGAATTCCTCTGGCAGTCAGGTCAGCTCGGTAAACATTCTGCTCAAGCTCTGGTCAATGTAAACTTTAAATGTCACTGAACACTTTGGCCTCCGAGGGAGACAAGAGCACTATTCAATGATGGTGGAAGATTTCAGCATCATAACCAGTCCTGACAGCGTTGTCGAATACATAACTTTTAAAAAAGGTCCTACAAAAACGAGGCAAGGAGGTGTCCGGATCGCCCACAGAGCTGTACAACCCAAAATGTTTTTCGACTGGCGGCGAAAGATGCCCTGTAATGCTTTTCGAAGAAATGCTGTCTAGACGACCACACGACCACCAGAAATGAGAGACAGTGGGCCATTCTACTTGACAACTATTTCAAAACTCAAGGGCCAAGTATGGTTTAGCAGACAACGAATGGGTGAACACAAAATTGGACAGCTTATGAAAGACATGGCTGTCAAGTCTGGTTTAACTGCTGCCACTGGTAAGAAAATTACCAATCATTCGAGCAGAAAAACTTGTGTGCAAAAGCTAAAGAATGCTGGTGTCCCGAGGGACAAGATTATTGATGTCACTGGACACCGTAATATTCTCAGCTTTAATTCGTATGAAGGAGATGACGAGAATCAGGCAAGGGAACTGTCAAATATAATCAGAGGATGCAAGCAAACAATTGATATTCAACAACAACCTGCTAACAGCAGCCCCAATAAGGATAGACTACCCCTTCAAGCCAGTTCTTTCAGCAACAGTTTCAGTACCATCAACAACTTTACAGGTACAGTGAATTTCCATGGTGCATTTCCTGGCTTTCCAGGTCTATCTAATATGCGAGTGCCAACTCACCAAAGCACAGAGCCACGACGTACATGGAAAAGGATCAGAGCTTCTGTACTCTCAGACTCAGATGAGGACTAGCTATTGCTGACCGTACAAGAACTTTAAATTTACACCTTTCTTGTATTCATTGTAGTTTTGTACTTTTTTAATGTGTGCGTGTTTTGTACAGACTAAAATTTTCTGCACTTTGTTAATTGCATTCTTTTCTTAATCTTTTCCATCTTTATTGTGTGTGTGTTATTTCTTTACACACTTTTATTTCTTGATATTGAAAACTGGATAGTTTCAAAATAATGAAATTCTAAATTTTTTGACCTTAAAGTTTTACAGTATTGTTATATTTATTACATTTATTAAATTCAATCGTGATAATGAAATTCACTTCTATTTGGACTACAGCATGTATTTAAAAATGAGTTAAAATAAAAAAATTATTAAGATTTCAGTCTGTTTTTTTATCAGAGACAGTTCCCATAGTTTTCCTTGCGAAGCTGTATTTCCTCACTAGCTATATAATTAATAAGTAAGAGGACTACATGCTTGTCCAATTTGGAAATAATTGCATTCAAAAAATTCCTCTGACAGCCAAATTGGACTTGGCCTACGGCCTCCTCTAATTTTGACTGTCCTCGGAATTTTTTTCATCCAATTATTTCCAAATATGACACCATGTAGTCCTATTACATATACTACTGAATGTCGCGGCCCGGCCTTGAGTTTGGGCGTTTGTGTGTCCGCTTTTGCTTTTTCCCAAAGATTATTTTTAAAATGACTATTGACATTTCTATGTGTAGAATAATATTAGAAGTGAAATACTTTATAAAAAGTATGATCTATCAGATGTTAAAATTTTTGAAAAGAATAGCTTGTTTCATCCCGAGATGATCCGAAGACCTTTATTTTTGAAACAAAAACTTTTTGAAACAAAAGAAGTTACTTTTTAACTTTTTGTTAACCGTAACTGGCCGATAACCGTAAAAGCCACCACCCCATTGAGACCCTCTTAATAAAACATAATAGTGCACCACAGCATTTGCGTTTGCACTTGAAAGTAGCGTTGCCTAACAACCCTAAAATGCACCCTGACGTCACAACTGGATGACGTCAACTCACCCAAGAGATATATAACAATTATTCACCGAAGCGGAGGTGGCTAGTGGTAGTTGTTATTTACCGAGACCACCACTAGCCACCGACACTGAGACAACGACTCACCCAAGAGATATATAGAACAACTCAACTCAACACAACTCACCCAAGAGATATTTAGCTTTTGACTCAGAGGCCATTCAGGCTCGAGGAATAATTGTTTCAGTAAAATCCAACCCTTAGTTGGTTAAAAAAAAGGAGAATAAGAAAATTTAACTAGCTAAAGCTAGACTTTAATCCTGTTTTGCCGCCAAAAAGCCGGCGCTTTTCGCTACCAGTGGGCTATAACATATAGCCTAGTAGTAGTTCAACCAATCAGAACGCAGCATTGATAATAGACCACTAGTTGGATTTTACTAAATAGAAATATTCGCTGCAACACGAATTTCTGCCTCACTGTGCGATCAACGCGCGAGGCGCGCTTTGCCGGCGTGACAAATTTATAAACTTCGGCGCCTCGCTCGGAATTATATTGAACAGATATATAATTACACCAATATTGGGAACTAGGAAACCCTTACGGGCATTTACAAGGTTCCCCTATTATTTACTAGTTTTTCTTGTCAGGTCAGGACGCCATATGTGCTGTAATCTAACTATAAATTAATTTCTATTTAACTTACACACTACTAAGCATTGTCTAAGCACTGTTGTGACAAAAGATAAATTTTTTATTTCTTATTTATACTATATTGTGATTTTGTGTTCTTTAAATCTTTTGGTATAGAGTTCCACAATTTCGTCCCTTTACACTTGAATATCGAATCTCAAATTTGGTTGCTTTTTACCGGCTTTAAACAGTTATTAATAGTAAAACTCAAATTGAGATGTTTACAGGGACATAATTTCCTATTCAAGGTATTAGATCTGCTACAAAACCATTCCATTTGAAAAAAATCATTTCTCAAATAGTAAAGAATTTTGCAGAATAAAAATTACAAAGACCTATCAAGCGAGAGCTGATCTTTCAGAAAATTGAGATCGGGGTGTCAATTTTCATACCCAAGGTGTATTTCTGATTTATATCGCAGGCTCAAAACTTCAATAATTCCATATTTCTGGCTTTCGCTCGATACCTAAGGATAAAAAAAGAAATGGAACTGACTTATACTTAGGTTGTTCATTTACCTTTTCATTCCCGGCAGTAGGCAGTAAACTTTTCCTGAGATATAGAGGTGGAATTTTTTTGTAATGCCCCATAACTTCAGGCCGCCGCCAAAATTCCAAAATATTCCGGCAATTGCCGGGAATTTAGTACAATTTTCCTTAACATTATATAAATAAACCTGGCAAGTTTCAGCGAGTTATCATATGTGCTCATATTTTCACATCAATTTGTTTTCCGTGCGGTCCAACGCAGCCGCAAAATTGCCCTTAATTCGCCCTTAATTTCCGTCGCGCTTCCCTGATTTCTTCGTCGCCATCTTGAATTCTTGCGAGCAAACCGCTGTTCTTGTGACACTGACCCGATTGTAGCACGGAAAGTGACGAGGAAATGCTAAAATCTGCGTTTGAACTCGTTACGTGACGTGCTTCGATATGGCGTCGTAAACAATGTCTTAGTAGCCTGTGAACAGGCCTTTGGTATGGAGAGGGAAAAGCGAAAAGGCCTGTAGACAAACATTATTTTGGGACCGCCGTTCCACGACACCCGCTGTGCATCAGATCCTGATGCAAGCTCCTATTGGCGAGAACACTGACTGTTGACTGGTCTAATTGACATCGGCTTTTCGGTCGGCACGTAGCAAGCGATTTGTTCTCAAAGTGGCAATAACAAAACACTCCAAAGACTGTTGTTCAAAAGCTATTACCAAGGGAGGAACTACGCGCTCGGGTCAAAAGACTCACAGAAAAAAACTAAGATGGAGTTTACCGAGACACAATGCAATTCTCCATAGTTTATGTAGCTTCGGTTTAATCTGCACTTGAATCTTATAGCTTTGGATCTGTAGAGTACTATCCGTGATAGTTTTTAAACATTCTGCAAAGAAGCCTAATGAGCTGGGCCCAGCGTGATACAACATTTCAGAAAAAACATTATATTCACGGACTAAAGAAAATCTCTCAGTTATTCAGATCCACAAGGCACTTTGGAGAAACGTAAGACCCTTATTCAGCCGCAATAAAAAGCTTTACCCTCCAAAAGAGGTCAAAGGAAATACTCTTGCATCAGAGTGCAAATCCTGCCGACCAGAGACAAAAACCACAGTAAATCGATATGTGTGCCATGACCTCTCAGTGTCAAACAAGCGGCTAAAATCACATTTGCTCAGTGAAAATGTAGAACCTTCCAGAACATAATCTACTCAGCAGAAGAAAAAACTTATGAGAACAAGCACCATTTTGACATGAGGCTAACGTCGTGCAGGTCTACCGCCCCCTTTTATTGCTATAAGTACAGGATAAATACCCGCAGGTGTAATTCCTGTCTGCGATCGAAGCGCTGCTGATCTCTTTGTACTTGTCTTTGGAGCTTCACGTTCTGGAGAAGTCGTGCAGGTCTACCGCCCCCTTTTATTGCTATAAGTACAGGATAAATACCCGCAGGTGTAATTCCTGTCTGCGATCGAAGCGCTGCTGATCTCTTTGTACTTGTCTTTGGAGCTTCACGTTCTGGAGAAGTCATGATAGCATCTGTACCTTTCGCATTCCAAGTTCGCTCATTGCAGGGGCTAGTTAAATTAGAAACTGAACTAGCAAGACGAACGGCCAGTCGCGCACAAGTTAAGCAGCTTAAATCGGAAAAGGTTTCTCCTTGCTCAAGGGGAATCTTGAGGATTCAAATGCTTGCGCTAGTACAACGCTGTCTTGGCCACTGTCAACCAGCAAGGTCTTATTTCTTGAAACGCCAAAGACCGGCACCATATTAATTCTCTTACCGGAAATCAACGACTTTTCGCAAAATCGACAATTAGGCTCGCGGTCCATTTCACTTTGTTTTCAGACGGAGGAAAACACGGTCCATTTTTCCCGTTAGTTTTCCCAGGAGTTACTCACGCGCGAAATTGATTGACAGTTAACGATCTTATTGACAAATGTTAAGCAGGATAATTACAAGAGGGCGGAATAACGGCCTCAACTGTTTGTCTAAAGGCTCTCCTCCCCCCCTTTCCCTTCCCTTTCCTCGCTATTTTTTGCCCCAAACAGAGAGCCTGCAGGCTAATGTTTTAACCTTAGCAACGTGCTAATTTGCAGAATAGGTCACTTAACTTCGGCCTTAGAAGTGATTTAGAAATATCCGAACAATCGTACTTTATTTTGGGAAGCAGAATATAAGAGAATTTTGCTATAATTTGCCTTAGCTTACTTAAACTCATAACGCGTTATCGCGTGCCGGGTTGTGAAAATTCAACATTTCTGTCAACAACGGAGAGTATCGCGTCGGATTTCAGCCCTGTAATTATTAATATTACCAAAATAGCCGTAATGAACATTCAATCAAAGAAAACTTGATTACATGATTAAGCTTAGTTATGTTTTGATTTTTTAAAAAAGATACGGTTCTGTTTCGTTTCATTTATCGAGTTTTTACTCCCCTATTTTCGTGTACTATTGTTCACAGTTTGAATCAATTACGTAGCTAGCCATTACTGTTTCTAACCGGTTTTGCAACTGTACACGTGAATTGTATCCTTATCGGAGTTGGAGTTAGTAGATCTACGGAGCAACATTGGAGTTTCAAAGCAGTTTTACCTTTTTCGGAGTTACGTAATGTTGGAGTTTCTTTAGCCCTTTTAGACAGGATCAGACGTAAGTTCCAGCTTATTGTATTTAGTTTTCGTTTTCCTTTTCAGTTTGCTTCTTTTGTAATAAGTCTTAGCCCCTTCTTTGATCTTTTACATTGTAATTTCCCCTTTTGGTTTTCACCGAATGTGTACAATAATTCAGACGACTTGGTGTTCAAATAAAATGCTGTTGAATTCTGTACTGTGATTGACACTTCCCGATCTCCAGTGCACAACACCCCATGTCCGCTGCACTGGGTACGCGCAAGAGCCATAATGGTACAGAGAGGGAATCTTAGGGCGTTGGCTGGGATATGTGAATTTCCCTAAAGTTATTTTTAGAGGCTGTAAATAAACAGAGGTCTAATTCCTGGGACGTCTGCTCATTTTAATCGATTGTTTGAAACGTCATTAAGTCCACGCGCGACCTATAAGGTCCCGTGGGATTTTTTTGCTGAAAGCAAGCCACTGGTCTAGGAATGTTCATTGGGAGATAGTAGTCGTGAAAAGTTTTGGTGGCAAATTTGCAACCTCCTCAGAGGGGAATTATTGGGGTTTGAAATTTTCACCTATGGAGGCCAACATGAAAACGAGGCTGGAGTCGAAATCCTTTGTAACTCCCGTAAACAAGCCGTTTTGCTTACCAAATTTGGTTGCAACATACAACTCGCTGCTCTTAGTAAATTTCTCACATATTTTTGTTCAATTACAGGTCATGTGACCTTTTAGCATGAAAATGAGGCTGAAATACAAAACTCTTTATTCCTTGCATTAAAAGTGTAACGTTAAATACTATTTTATAAAATTTGATGTTGTTAGTTGTTCTAACTGGGTTTAAAAGAAAATACTGAATAAGAACAATTGTACTTGTGAGTATAAACTCCAGTGATGCTTGTACCGGGAGAGAGCCTGGGTCCCAAGCGAGCCTAATAACTTCTGGTCAGCAGCAATTATCATCATACAAGAGACCCGCCATCTTTACTTCCAGAGCATGTAGCGCTGTAATAAGGCATGGCAAAATCA